CCTTTGTATTTAGCTTGAGATTGCTGATTTTTTCAATGAAGTGGGCTGAGTCCTTGATGTAGTGTGTTGTGAACCCAATGTGGCTTTGTAACTGTGCAGCAAGAAATTTGGCTAAGTCATATGTGGGGGACCCAATGGCACTTTTTTTTTGCTATTAATAGTCCTGGAAGATTTGACCAAACACATTATTGTGAAGGGCATTTCTGAGAAATGCTGATAAAGTCCCTTTTAGAAAGAGATTTGTAAGCAGCCCTCTACTAACAGGATGATCCTACTGGTAAAAAAATATTTTTTTGCAATTTCTTTCTCTCTCACACCATTTGGAGGTTTGGGGTATTATCTGAAACAGTGATGCACACAGCACTAGAGAAAAGGGGAAATCTGGGTTCCTATTTACAGCAGTGGTAATATTAGCTGCGTTTTTTAACTCGTCTGTGGAGGAGGTGCAAAAGCACAACTCTGAATCCATCTGAGAATGATTCGGCATACGTTTTAATGTTCTGCATGCATTCTATGGGCAAGCTCTAGTGAGTATTTATTGTAGATTACATGTCTAATGCTTAAGCCATTAACTTCTTATGTCAGGAATGTTAGAGATAGCATTCTAGTGGCACTGTTTAAGTGCCTGTTAATTAAGAAGAACAAACAGATTGACCTTTGTCAGCCAGAGAGGCCTATGCATACAATCGTAGGCCTAATTAAAAAGCAAACTATATTCTTGCCTGTTAGCACTACCTTCAAGAGTATTTCCAAGCCATAAAACAGATCTTAGTTGTGCCTGAGATTAACTAAAATATATTACCAACTACAGGTTATGTTAACAGACTCCCTAGTTCTAAGGACAATGGTGTCAATGACAGGCTTGTCTTATCATCTTTATTCATTAACTATTCATTAACTATTTTCCCATTCCAGCAAAAAAAAAAAACCCTCTTCATTAACATTTAATCATTAAGAGCACTATGAAGAATATATTTAAAAGTTTACACCCACAAGATCCAAACAATACCAAGATGACTTCTTTTTTCAAAAAGAGCGACTACTGCTATATAAAAAACGTTGGCTATCACCCTGTTCGATAGTTACGAGATCATAAGCTGCATTTATGATCTTCTAACTGCTAGAGATTCATGTTTACAGTACGGCCAAACATAAATCCTGAAATCTTTTTTGCATGGTAGTGCTATAATGAAAGGGTTTCTAAGGATCTGAAGATCGTGATGGTGGCAAATGACGGCTGCAATGTCGTCATACCCCCCCCCCCCCAAGTTATGGGGTGAATAGAGACAAGCACTTGTGGGAGAACTGGAGAGCACAGGATATGCTATTTCCCAGCATTGTAATCTACAGCACCCCAGACCCCACCCCCCAGTTGGGGCACTGCCAGGCTGAAATGGTAGGGGCTTGCCTGTGTGGGGGGTTGGCATCATCATGTTTGGGAATGTAACATACTTTGAATGAAGATAAATATAATTACAAATAGAAAATTCCTTATTTGAAATGTTTGTGGGACTAGGAGTGTTTTGGAATAATTGTACTTGCATTTGTGTACATGAGGTACTTTGGAGATGGAACCAAAGTCTAAACATGACACTCATTTATGTCTCTTAAACACATAGCTTGAAGATAATTTATACAATAGATTTAAAAATGTTCATGAAACAAAGTTTGTGTACATTGAATGATCAGAAAGGAAAAGGTATCACTATTTCAGCTACCCCTTTGGACAATTTTGGATTCTGGAGCAGAATGCCAGATAAGAGATGTTCAATTTGTGTGAATGAAATTTCTTATAATGAAAAGTACAAAATGTGAAATGAATAAAACTGCATTGAGATGAGTGAAATTTCAGAAATTCCTTCCAGATATCCATGCTTGTTTTTCAATTTATATTAGTTTTTTTTTACAGGAAAATGTTGGAAAATTGCTTCCATGTCAATCATGAAGGACAACAGACAAGTGTTACTATACTGGCTTGTTTGCAAGTTTCTTGATATGCCCGCTCAGGGACCAACAATAAACCATTTAAACTGAATCTCTTTTTTTTACAGTCTGGGGCCCTAGTTCACAAAGCATTATTTGGCCAATCTAAGCCACCAATATCAAAGGTCATTGCTTGTAACAGATCTTTATGTTAAAATGGGTTATGCTGTCTTTTCAATAGGACCAAAGGAAGACAGAATATGTAAGGAATTTTGGTTCCTAGAAGGTTGAACAGCATGATACAAAGCTTTACGATCAGCAGCAAGAACCCTTTCCTAATTAGTAAATTAAATCTTGTTTATCATTATTTAAATGTATATAAGCTGTCTGTTATGGAACTTTCAGCAGTTTTTCATTAAGGCCTTTCTTACAGTACAATAACATGTTAAAAATGGAATATATGTGTAAGAACTGCCTTTTAAATAAAAAAAAATGTTGATGCCACCTGCTTCCCCAAGTGCTTTTAACTTTAAGTGTGTTTTTTCTAAATGCTGAACAATGATCAGTTGCAAAATTCATAAAACAACTATTTCAAAACTATTATAAACAGCTAAACAAATTTAGATCTCTGCAACCTGGCTCATATTTTGCAATGCTGTTATTAAAAATAAAATAACAATGCTTGCATATTGCTGCTTTAAAAGAGTATACTTTTAAGAACTCAGTAGAACATGCATTTTAAAATATATTGATTTATTCTTCAGAATATACCACTTTGTGCTTCACTCCATCACAAATTTACTTTTGACTTTACAATTTTGTTATCATGCTTGTACTTAGTTTATTTTCTGTGTGCCCCCTCCCCTGGCATATGTGTGACAGTCTATATAAATGTATGGAGAAAGATTTATCATATGTTGTAGAATATAGATGGCAAGGAATGAAGTACATTGTTTTCTTTCAATGAATACCACTGTTGTGTTGCTGTATGGATCCAAAGAAAAATGGAACACACTCAAGTATTTATTGGAAAGCATATCTACATGTACTTGATGCAAAATATTAAATATAAAATTCAAAGAAAGAGACACACATTTTACTAATAAATGGCCAAATGACAAGTTCCAAGTCCTATGGTACATTATATTTTGTGCTGACCTATATTTTTGAGTAATGTCTCTAACCAATTCAACAATTTAATATTTTAAAGATAGCAGAGAACTGGATTCTTTAAAAAAAATCTTAGCTTTAAGCACTAATCCAAAGTTACAGGCACTGCTGTAACGGAAAATCAACTTATTTCATGTTGTTGAATTTCAATCTCCACAGAAACTTGTTGGACATAATGGCCAATTCAACACTGCCATTTTTGAGCAAACTACCTCATGACTGCAACTTAAAGGTCAATCCCTCATCTAATCCTCCTCTTCAAATAGCTGCTGTAAAAGTTGCCTGTGATATTAGGACAAAATTGCAAGTAAAATAAAACACTTAAAAGCACTACTATGCTTTGATGTACCATATATAGATTTTATGTGAATGTCCACCAACTAATAATATTCAGTTCAAACTATTACATTCTGGGTAACATTCTAGTCTGGGTGCTCATTTAAAGCACTCAATGTCTAATGCTATGATCCACAGCAAATTACAAAGGGACAGATTTATCACATTACATGATAATATATCTCATTGGTCATGGTACAGTTGAAGGACCAGAATAATATAATAGGTTTTCAAACTTCTTAGGCACTTACGAATAATTGCATAAGCTTTCTAAAGCCATTACCAATGCACTTCAATCATTACACATGTTGATATGCTTTTCTAGTAATCCACATGGCTGCAACTTGGACAGACCTGTACTGCTAAGATTTGTTTGTATTAGTTATAGAAAGATATGTTTAACACTTGGGTGCTGGTACTTAGGTTTTTCGCAATAAACCATTAAGGGGATCTGTTACTTTTCGTACTGCAAAACACAATATAGAACATAGAATATATAGTTTACAAACTAAGCTTAAGTTTCCCAATGTACAGAAGACATGGGAAGCAGCCACTGAAAGATATCTTACATATTTAACGTCAGTCACAAAGATGGGTAGTTCCAATCAATGGACTACAAATGTATCAAAGTTTGCTTGCCTTATAAAGTGTATTATGCTTACTATTATTTAACAGCAGGCATGAAGTGTGTGCTAACAAAGAAAAAAAGCATGACATTTTATAGTTCAGAATCTGAAGAACTGAGGCAAGATATCCCAAAATAGACTAAGTTTTGCAACTGATCGACTGTGACATTCATAAACAAATCATAAAATAAAACCAACAACAGCTCACACTGAAGTCTAACAGTATTCTTGCCATGACAAACAGAATGTAATGGCAAAATCCCAGTCAGGGACCTGGCTGTGTTATATGGAGTTTTGGGGGGCTGGATAGAGTGGACAGCCATCCTTTCAGTTCTGCAATCATGAAAACCACAGTAGTTGCCTACCTGCTCACAAATGAAATGGGACTGAGAATGTAACAGGCAGAGAATAAGGATGTATCATGCAGTGACATTACAGTAATGAAGATGCCATTTTGAAGGGCCTAGGACAGAACCGAGGAGCCTGCACAATAAAGAGAACAAAGGACTAAAGACCAAGGAGGAAATCCTTGTTCTTCTAATCTAAGGAGAAGCCTGAGGCAATGAGACAGTGGGATGAGAACCACATGGCTACAAATACAGCCACTTCAGGACATACTCCTCAAAATCTTGTACTGGGAGAGCACAATGCCCTCCCCCATTCTGTCTAGTGGTCACAATGCTATCTTCCAGACACCAGGTCACTAAGCCTGACTGGAGATAGGAAAGAACCACAATTCTGTACCTGGACTAAGACTATCCTTCATGTTTCCAGTGATAGCCATATCAATATGCTCTAGTTTAGGGAGGTCTGGGGTCGAGGTGGACATTGCACAAGGAGGTACTAAATAACCCTTTCACTGTGTACATAAAAAGGACACACACATGTAAACTAGGATTATACAGGGTGAGGCAGCATAACTTCCTTTTTTAAAAGGAAGTTATGCCGCCATTCAGTCGGTTGAAGACGTAGCGGAGCGTTAGTGGTCTCGTTCGAGAGGCCGGAGTATAAAGTTTTGTCCTGACACAGTTCAGTCACCACTATGCGTTGGAACAGTGAGGAGTGTGCTTTTGCCTTTGAGGCCTACTTTTCGAGTGGATTTGGAGTGGCCGGCCCACTCTCCAGATTTGGCCCCTTGTGATTTTTTTTCTATGGGGTTTTTTGAAACGCCGTGTTTATGTGAACCATCCAAGGACCCTACAAGATTTGAAGACCAACATCCAGGAAGAAATTGCCAACATAACGCCTGCTATGCTGGCAAGAGTTATGACAAATGCCAGAAATCGGTTTACTCAGTGTATGGAGAATGGAGAATTTGGGGGGGGGGGGGGAGAGTCACCTACCTAATTTGATCTTCAAAACTGCATAAAACAAAACTTTAGGTATGTGCCTACATTATAAAAAAATTCTGATTCATACAATGGGTTTTATTAAGTTTAAAAAAAAGGAAGTTTTGCTGCCTCACCCTGTACCTGCATAGGTCACCAATAGGCTCTTGTTTTTGTTTCCTATGGCAGAATACCAAATGCTCTAGCAAATTAAGGGAATGTTTGCTGCACTTCAATACTTGTACCTGCCTGAGGTCTCTTCAAAGTTACACATGCAGATAATATTACATTCTACCTTTTTCATAGCATTTGTTTACTCAGGTGGTTTTAAGGTCTGTTTGTTCTATAGTCAATGCAGTTAATATTAGACCTGAATATGGGAGAGGACTCCGATTTAAATCCTCATTCACTTTTGAAAATCACTGGCTTTTGGTTCACTACTTCACAGAACTATTACAAGGATAAAAGCACAGAAGCAATTATATAAATGGGAAGGAAAAAAGGTGGAAAATACAAGTAAATATCTTGTTTTTAAAAAAGGCCAGTTGTGCTCCAAAAGAAACACAAAACATAATTAAAATTAAATTCTCAATTTTCAAATCCTGTATAATAAAACACAATAAAATCATATTAATAGCTGAACAGATAAACCAATAAACTGCTTATTAATACCCAAAAGATTTCACAAGAAATGCACTTTCAACTGCAATTTAAGAAACTGCCATATTTCACAGGAAGAAAGTTCTACAATTACCACAATTACCACTCATTTGAGTTGTTTGACATTTTATTACACAATTACATTATATAACAGGATTTGAATGGCCATGGATTTTGGTGGATGCTCAAGTCATGGAACCAAACTCCAGTGGATACTGAGAACCTACTGTATTTCCATATAATAACATTTCAAAGCAAGACAGTTACACACATAAAGACGACATACAAATCTAAACATCACCTCTTCACAAATAAAAAAAACTGAAATGAAGATGGTTACACATGAGAATTTGCAGGTAGAAACTTATGAATACTGATGCGGAGATGAATCCACATTTACAAACAAACAAAATGTATGTGCAGTATGCCTTCAGAAAACTGAGCACTACTATTGCTTTTACTTTTTGTGAACATTAACAAATTAGAAAAATACTATTTCTGGGAATTTAAAATAATAAGAATAGTGACATACCTGTAACATCTTCAGGTTCTGTTACAACAATATGCGCGTTTAAGTCCTGTAATTTATGATGCAATTCTTCTAGCTTCTTGTTTGATTTTTTCAAAATGTTGTCTACGTAAGCCAAGTTTTTTTTATCTGTAGTGACTTTCCTGAGGTTTTCTGCTCCTTCCTTGATTTTAAGTTCCTTCCTTATTTCCCGTTTGATTTGGTCCTTTACTTCATCCAACTTCTGCTGTACCATTGTGTCTGTATAGTCCAATTTTTGTCCAATGGTCACATTCTCAGAGACCATTATATTCCGCACATCTCCCTGCAGACAGAATGAAAAGCACAACGGTTACCTGATGATTCCTCCCCGAGTACTCTACAAAACTGGTAGACATTCAGAGACCTTTTGCCAGCAATTTATCTTTAAAAACCCAGTATCAGCAAAGAAGCACAGAACTTCATGTGGTGAATGACAACACTAGCAAGTAACAGGTTTAAGTTTAGCAACGTCTTTGCTGTTCCTATTTTTAACTCATCGATGTAAGCTGCACTGGATTTGCAACACTTGGTTTCTGTAATGAAAGGCCTGGGAACTAAGAGCTATAGAAAGCATTGAAGAGATACATGCATGTGTCTACTCAAAAGCAGGCCCCATTCTGTTCAATGGCACTCAAGGGTGTTGTTTATAGGATTGCTGCTGAAATATAGATTTGTAGTGTTCACATGTTGAAGAATGAATTTAAATAATCCTGTAAAAATTCAACAAAGAGTGAAATATTTCAACATTTTGTTTAAAATGTTTTTACATCACCTCTGAAGGTAAATGTTAACTTACTGCAAGACAAATAAACTCCACTGACACAGATTTAGACCCAGAACCCAATATTATATGTGTACATACATATGTGTTGGTTTTTTAAATGAAGGTTTTGTATTGACAAGATAACCTAAGCTGTTTTAGTCATTTAAGCGACTATGCCATAATTGATCATCATTTTGACCTATTTAACCATTAAGAGTTTTGTAAGATAATTTCAAATTTCTTCAGTTTCAAAAATTGTATTTCTTTGATCAATTATTACGAGAATGACAGACAACACCCCTTCGCCCCAGTTTTTCCAGATTCCTTCCTTTTCAATTGCATAAGATCAGATGAGATATTAGCTCAATATTATCAACCTTGCAAACTAGTCCTTGATTACTGTCATTTTTACATATGTGGTATTGACAGATCCTGTGTATTTAAGATGTGCGCCCATGCTCAAGCACAATCATTTTAAACAAAACCAACAAATTTCAAATTAAAAAAATTAAAAACTATCACAAGACGAGTACTAGGGAGTGGGAAAGCCTGCTTACATAATGTTGGCAACTTATATTTCTTTTCTAGATCTTAAACTGCAAGATTCACAAAGTAACAGCAGTTGTGATTACAGGGTAAGTATGGTGCCCTTTTCATATGGAGGAAGTACAATTGATCCAGTTTTTATAGGTGTGCTATATTCTTTATACTTATTACATATTAAGGGGTGGGGTCGAAAAAAATGTGCATCACAAAGATTTGGGGGAAAGTCAAATGTTTAGATGCCTTGTACCTGGCCAACATAAGACATAGGATTTTCAGGGGTTTTGGATGCTAGTAGGATTATCTATCAAGTCTCATTTAAATATAAAAAACATATTTCCGCTAAAAAAACTCAGATATTAATTCCCCCAAATATTAGGAGAAGACTGGGTCAATATATATAGCATAATGAGGGTACTAAAGGAAATCTAAATGTAATCCTTCGGAAATAGTGCTGCATATTATGTTGTTGTTGTTGTTCATTCGTTCAGTCGTCTCCGACTCTTCGTGACCTCATGGACCAGCCCACGCCAGAGCTCCCTGTCGGCCGTCACCACCCCCAGCTCCTTCAAGGTCAGTCCAGTCACTTCAAGGATGCCATCCATCCATCTTGCCCTTGGTCGGCCCCTTTTCCTTTTGCCTTCCACTTTCCCCAGCATAATTGTCTTCTCTAGGCTTTGCTGTCTCCTCATGATGTGGCCAAAGTACTTCAACTTTGTCTCTAGTATCCTTCCCTCCAATGAGCAGTCTGGCTTTATTTCCTGGAGGATGGACTGGTTGGATCTTCTCGCAGTCCAAGGCACTCTCAGAACTTTCCTCCAACACCACAGTTCAAAAGCATCGATCTTACTTCACTCAGCCTTCCCTAAGGTCCAGCTCTCACATCCGTAGGTTACTACAGGGAATACCATGGCTTTGACTAGGCGGATCTTTGTTGCCAGTCTGATGTCTCTACTCTTTACTATTTTATCGAGATTGGACATTGCTCTCCTCCCAAGAAGTAAGCGTCTTCTGATTTCCTGGCCACAGTCTGCATCTGCAGTAATCTTTGCACCTAGAAATACAAAGTCTGTCACGGCCTCCACATTTTCTCCCTCTATTTTCCAGTTGTCAATCATTCTTGTTGCCATAATCTTGGTTTTTTTGATGTTTAGCTGCAACCCAGCTTTTGCGCTTTCTTCTTTCACCTTGATTAGAAGGCTCCTCAGCTCCTCCTCGCTTTCGGCCATCAGAATGGTGTCATCTGCATATCTGAGGTTGTTAATGTTTCTTCCAGCAATTTTATATTATATAGCAACTGTTAAAAATGTAAACAAATGTTTACTACCATAGTTTCATAAAACTTCCAGAAGAGAAAGGTTGGTAAAACTAACTCATATAAAAGAATGTTTGAAAGAGAAAATTATCTATGCTCCTCAGGAATATTGACAAAGATTTTTTTTTTATCCTGTCCAAATTTATCCTGGTGGAAGGAGTCCGTCTTGTTGGAGGTAGTAACACGTGATGGGGCCTTTTCTCATGTCCTCTTTGCTAACATTGTTCAACAGTATGCTTAGGATCTACTTGTCTACCTGACATTTATGACCTGTTAGTTGCTTTTGTGATTGATGCTTCTACCTATTTCTCCTGGTATTATTAGATGTTTATTATGTTATATGATTGTTTCAGCACTTTTGTTAAAATCTGGAATTATTATATGGGAAGAATGTACAAAGAAATACCGTATATTCCAGCATATAAGACGACTGGGTGTATAAGACGACTCCCAACTTTTCCAGTTAAAATATAGTTTGGGATGCATTCGCCGTATTTATTTATTTATTTATTTATTTATTGCATTTGTTGACTGCCGTTCTCAGCCCTTTCGGGCGACTCACGGCGGTGTACAACATATAAAAACAGTTTACAATACAACCCTCATACAACACAGTATACACGTAACATCAATAATACAACAATAATTACTCTAAATCATCCGAGTCGTCTCATCGTAAAATCATAAACCAATCTCGTATTCCATATTCCGTTCCAGTCATCAATGCCAATTGTTGTAATACTTAGTTGAACGCCTGCTCGAATAGCCATGTCTTTAAGCTCTTGCGGAATGACATAAGGGAGGGCGCCTGTCTGATGTCCACAGGGAGGGTGCTCCATAGTCGGGGCGCCACCACCGAGAAGGCCCTATCTCTCGTCCCCGCCAAACGTGCCTTTGAGGCAGGCGGGATCGAGAGAAGGGCCTCCCCAGATGATCTCAAGGCCCTCGTGGGCTCATAGGCCGAGATGCGGTCAGAAAGGTATTTTGGGCCGTATAAGACTACCCCTCTTCCAATGCACACCAACTTTTTAAAGCATCAGATTTGATTTCAATATGGCAATTTTCCTATTATTGTACCTCCTTCTCTGCCTCTCAGATCTCGCACATATGCACCTCTCAGATCTCGCACATGTGCACCTTCACTGCAGTCTTCAGGAGTGAGATTTGAGAGGCAGAGGAGGAGGTCAGACAGGTAAAAGAGGTGTGTTTGTCAGGGCCCAGAGCCACTCTATCTCTTTTTTCCATACCCGGGCACCCCAGACGCCTGCAGCTTGCTCCGACCTTCACTTACAACTTCCTGGTGAGGTGCCCCTTCACCTCACCATCGGGACCGCATTAAGTCCACGAATCCTGGTGAATGGATTTTCTTCTACCGTACTTGTGCAGCATCGCCCTTAATGCTTTCATACAGTTGCTGCATATGGCAGGGACACAGCCATTGCCATTTTTGAGCTCCCCCCACCATATGCGGCAAACACAGATTCTCCAATCCGAATGGAAGTTTCAGCACCCGCTCTATAAGACTACTCCCGTGCATAAGACTACTCCAGCGTATAAGGCTACTCCCGTGTATAAGACTACTCCCATGTATAAGACTACTCTCACGTATAAGACAACCCTGCGTATAAGACAACCCCTGATTTTTGAGAAGACTTTCTTGGGTTAAAAAGTAATCTTATACACCAGGATATATGATAAATGTTTAATAATGTTACGCATAGATGACAAGCACTTCTTTCTACTCCCCATCTCAGTATATTTTGTAGATAGTCAATGGATTTAAACACAACCAATTTATGTATTAGCTAACCTATCTGAAAGATTTCTAGGGCTCTTCAAGCTTTACAACCAAGAGCATTTGTAAGAATTGCTAATAATAACTATTCTCTTTCAACAGAGAATACAAATATATTCAGCATAGTTTCTAAGCTATTTAGCCTCCCAGTTGCACGTGCATTATATGAATTACATTATAAAGTATACTCAGTCAATCTGTGCCCTCTGGGAAAATTCAAAGAAAGCAAGACACCACCATCAACCCCATCTTCCATTTGTTTTTTAAAGCAGCAGATCTGCTAAACTTACAAATGATGGTTGGTTTCAAGAAGCCATCTAGTTATCAAAGGTTCAAAGGGCAAAATAAGCTCTAAGAACTACCCTGATGTTTTTTGAACATCAATTACTCTGAACTTTAGTTACAGTATTTATGTTCCCAAACCATGGAACTGAAACTATGGTTTACATTTCCAAATACTGAATATGTTACTACTTTCTGTTCAATACTCTATTCCAAGGCCGGACAAGACAACCCTCTGTTATTTTAGCTGCCCCAACACCTATCAAGAGTGTAATCCAAAAAACCTTTCCTTGGAAAAGAAGAATGAATACCTCCTCCTGCAAGTCTCCAGGAACAATTATTCGTATTACTTACACTAGCCATTGAACCTATTCAAATTGTTTATCAACAAAATGTTAGTTTCTCAAACAAAGTAGAAAGGCAAATGAGATATGTAAAGGCAGCCGAGGAGGAGAAGGAAACTCTGCCAGTCTCTCCAGGTACTTACTGCCCTTCATTCTCCCCAACCACACCCCTTGTTTGAAGGAAATCTGATTATTTTATATATATAGTTGCAATTTTAAGGGTTGCACCTTAACCTTCCTA